GCTGATGGTGAAGCTAAACATGAAACATTATGTCTCAAATTTAAATCAAGTGATACAGCAAAAAGATTTGTTAAACAATTTAATGAAGCTAAACAAGCAACTATTAAAGCTCAGTAATAAGAATGAAACAAAAAATGAATTTAATGAGACATTCTCTGTTGTTCTTATTCGAAATTGATCTTCATGGTATATGTGTCGATGTGTGTATCTGTCTGTCTTTTTTTCTATTATTGATTATTTTTTTCCTCTGTTCTCAATTCTTTATTTCGTTCTTTTTCTTGTGCTTGTGTGTGTGTGCGTGTGTCTGTATACGTCAGATCGTCTTGTTAAGTTGAAAAGCTCTTGAATAAAAAAAAAAGAAAAAAAAAAGATGGTGACTTTAATAATGACACAGTTAATAACTAAGAATTCATGTTTTTTTTTTAAATAAATATATGTATGTGAAAAGATCAATGGTAATAATAATAATAGATAATTATATGAAACATATTTATAACCGCAAGATAGGTTAGATGGATATGGCTAAAAGTAATTGATGTATTATATGATGAAAGTTATCATAATGCATTCTTGATTGAAAATGATTTTTATTCTGTGTTTATCTGGTATTAGCATTTTTACATTTGCCTTGATTATCAATATCTCATAAAAGTAGTATCACAATCAAACAATCATAATACAATGTCCCATAGATGGATGTTCTATTTTTGTTGTGCATAAAAATCCGATTAGTATCTAAGCTTTTCTTTCCCTTTATACATCCAATAGAATTCTTATGTTGATGTTTACAAGAATAAAGATTAGAAACCATCCATAAGAACGTTCATATACTTGCCATGAATATTTTTCTTTTGTCACACAATCTCTCACGAAATTTTCAAGCTTACGAAGTAATGTTTTCAATTGATTAATTCTTTTCTCATTGAAATCTAGTTGATTGTAGACTATCGATCATGAAAATATCGAATATAACCATGAGAAATTCACTTAGGTTTTCATATAGTGATTTTCTAGGCGAACAAAATTTTCGCTAAAATATTTTTCTTGATCCATCCAGAATAAAAAGTATATAGAATTGCCTAGAAAACAATAACTTTTTCTGTTTCAAATTGTTGCTTTTTGTAAACAATATAGACATTGTATTTTATTCAGTCGAGATATATATATCCCTTTCGAGGCGATGTCGCCCACCGGTGGGCGACGCTATAGTTTAATGAGAAACTGTATAGAAAAGCACTTTCTTTTGCTTTTTTCTTAGGTAGGAGGTTAAACACAATGTGAATTCTGCTCTGCCCTGGATATGTTTTTTGATTCTTTTATTCCATAGCATAATATTTCTTATTAAAACAATCAAGATAAAAGAATTAATTACAGTCAGAACAAAAGATTTTTATTTTCTTTGCTGCCGGATAGCTCTTTTCTCTTGATTGTGGTTCCTTTCCTTTCTCATAGCAGTCTACAGTGTCTGCGAACATTGCGCGCAGATTCTTCTTTTTCTGCAAGCTTATGATCAGCTAGTTTACACTTCGAATTACTTGTTGATTGTTGCTTCATACCAAGTTTCAGCATCTCGAATGACGTACTAAGACGTAACGATCGTACAAGATTCACAAAATTGTAGCATGGTCACATTGCTTGTGTCATAATTTTCCTTGTAAATCAAATAGGCGTTAACTATTGCCGTTCCAAATATCAATTCAGATGTCACCTATTGATATCATTTCATGGATCGCCTGAGACATGTATAGTATGCTGACAGCTAATCAGATAAATTTATACCTTGTTTTCCTCCACTGAAGAATGCTCAATGATGAAAATAAGAAGAATATGTCTTCTAATTACACCTATAGGAGATGTAGATCATAACAGAAAGAATTAAAGATGATGCTTCGAAAAGAAAACAAAAACAGATTGACATTTTGTTTCTCTATATTGTTCCTAGTGCAAATACATATGAGAGAAAGAGAAAAGCAAACTTGAGTAACTATTCAGTTCTACGTGGAACAAGACCGCTGTGTAATGGTACAAACAAGAAAAAGAGAAATGAATGGCTGTACATACTGAAAAGTCTAACGAGTGCATTTATCGAGAGTGAATAGACATGAAGATGAATGTGTTAAAGTTATTTTCTATGAAAACCGAATCGCCTCGAAAGAGATATATGTATATGTATATTATATCAGCATTTCGATGTGAAATTCTTCAAGATGATATTATTTTACCTGAAATTCATTTTTGAACAATGAAAAAGATTATTGTATTATAGAGAACTTGATATGGTCTACCATCTGAGTAGATACAAAACGGTTTTTGAAAAATTTCTTTTACTCTAAAAAATCGGTTTTCTAGAAAACCAGCATATAAAGATCTAAGAGGATTTCTTATAGTCATATTCAATATTAGAATGTTCGATAGCCTACAATCCACAAGCTTTCGATAAGAAAGCGATTAATCAGTTGAAAACGTTCCTTCGTTAGTTTGTTTTGAAGAACATTTTTAAATAGGAAATAAATTGAATGTGAATCAATTGAACATGAATATGATGTTGAAATAATCGAAGATTGTGCTACATGATTAGTGAGTTATTTTCTCGAGCAGTTTTATGACCATTGTTAGATTTTCGGGTGTCATTAATATTGAACTTCGTTTTTTGTTTTCACAATTTTCTGCCCATTAAAATGAGTCCGTAAAAAACTCTTTATTCAAAATGTAGAATTTTTCGAGAATCTTGATTCTAGTCGTCGATTATTCTACGAAACACTATGATCTAAGAGAGATTTTTCACTTTACGTGTTTTATATTAGTTTCATGAAGTAAGGAAGCATACGTGATTTCCACACTTCAGTCCTATAGGACTGCGCTGACAAGTTTCTTGTAGATGTCTGAAATTTTGTCTCTCAATAGTAATATTTCTTTGAAAGCATCCAAAAATCTCTCAAAGTTTTTAAAAACACGGAGTCCTACTCATTTGTACTCAGCATAGTGCAAAATGTTTTAGGTGTGAAAAAATATCGAGAGTTGCCTATGTAAAAAGTGCATTGTTCAACCAGAACGTGATGTACTTCTCATAAAATCGAGTTTTTATTTGTAATCAATGAAGCTATCTATAAGAAGAATCTGTACTAAATTAAAGCGATAATTATAAGCAATAATATCATGAGGGTGTGGGTGTTGGTCTCCTCCTAACCCACACCCCACACCCACACCCACATCCATATAGTGAAACTCTTAAATTAGACCAAAATTGGTTTATGGCTGTCTTAGCTCATGTTGGTAATACTGTTAGTAACAACAACAACATTAACTTAATCCGAATTCGTTTTTAAGTGTTATCGATGCTACTGCTATAAAATCGAAATAAAAAATTTTTCTGCTGATTTCTTAGAGAGTCCTGCTCTCTGACTGTAGACTTAACTGTAATAAAGTCAATATGTTTATACAATAACTTTTTTTTTTCGTAACCTAAATACATCCTGATTTCTGAGTTTTTGTTATGTTTCGATTCTTTCTCTTTCTGCATTACCGTATAGAATAGTGAATGTTAATCATGTCTTGCAGTCGAATGCTGCTGCATTGTGAAATTTTGAAAAATCCACCCAATGAGTCATCACATAACGACAACAGAAACTGGAAAAAACCAACTTTTACTTCCGTTTTTTTGTTTCGTTAAAAAATGTATATAAATGTGCAACTATTTTTATTAACGTACTGACAACAGTATGTCAAAAAAACGTTGCTATGACATATGTCTCTATGGTATTTTATGCCTTTGTTTAATAACTGTGACTACATTCATAGTTCTCGGTGCGATTAACACTTCCATTTATCTTACAGAAGACCATGATGAATTAGTTTACAAGCCAATCCAGTGTTTTGTAAAGAATTATAAAGTTATTAAGACCAAATGTTCAAGACAAGATTGCTCTGCAGTGAAATCCAGTGAAGAATGTACAACAAAGTATTGTACATGCTATAAATCATTGTATACAGTAGTGTATAATACATTAGATGGAAAAGAAACTGAATCACTAACCATGGCACTCGATGGACCTGGAGCAAATTCAGTAAGTATTCTGATAGAGTTTGAAAGCATGAGATTGAAGAAAAAATGGGCAAATTCGCCGGGTTCCTGCCACTTTTCAGAAAAAATTTTTTTTTTCAATTTTGCTCTTTTAGTTAGATGTATAGTCGTCGAAAATGGTCTGTGAACAAAAAGAAAAATTCTTTTAATGCTTAAGTTTTGGAGAGCTAATTCATTATTTAGGGACAATTCGGCTTTTTTACTAATATATTTTCAGTTTAAATCCGGAAATATTTAGCGCAAAAGCCGAGTTGTTCCTAAATAATGAGTTAGTTCTCCAAACTTTAAGCGTATAAAAATTATTCTTTTTTGCTCAAAGACCATTTTCGACGACTATACATCTAACTGGAAGGGCAAAATCGAAAAAAAACTTCTTTGAGAACACTGGTACGGAATTCTACTTTTTTCCGAGAGTGGTAGAAATCCCATGGATTCACCCAAATTTGTTTCAATCTAAAACAACCGTAGAGAAATAATTTTAAAGATGAATAACTTCACAATTTTATAATTTTAAAGTTTCGAAATTTTATATGATACAGAGATATGATCATTGTTTATGTGTCATCAGATTCGGTGAATAGTATGAGATAATGATAAGACAGCGGCAATACGCCTTTCTAACAAATTTTATTTGAGATATTCATCATACTTGTCAGGAAGAAGTCATTGGAAAAACCAAACTTTTGATCATATAGTCTGAAAATCAAGAAATTTTTACAGATACCTATCAGCATGTCGACTACAATCATAATCATTTAAGTCACATTCTTAACAAATATTATAAAGAAATTTTCTACCGATCACACCAAATATTTCTGCCTATCAATAGCAAAAAAATTCAATTTGTTCATTCCAGTTGTCACAAGCATCAGTGCATGCATATAGAACTTCAAGTTAAAGTAAATAGTGACTTGATCGATGTCACTTTAATAGAAGAAGAAGGAGAGCACTCTGTCTTTTGACTATCTTGCCATATAGGATTCTGTCCGGTGACAATTTCGTTGACCCAATATTTTTCTTACAATCAATTCATCTG